GATTGTTTTTTTTTTTTTAATTTCTTTTATTTATTTTTGACTAAATTATTTGCATTTCATTTAGTTTTGTATACTTTATTGCTTTGAACAAAAAAAAAAAAATATTTATTTAATTTCATTTAATTTTTAAAATACTACTATTTATTTTTGCTTTAATTTCATTTTATTTTCTATTTAATTTTCTTTTAATTCTTCGTTTTTATTGTTAAAAAATATATATAGATAGATATATATTTATAATTTAATTAAATAAAGAACTTATTGCTAAAATGCAAACAGCATAACGCTAAGACTTCCTCGTAAAGTTGAAAGACGCCAGAATTGAAATACGAAATAGTTTTGTCTTTCGAAAGACTGTGGTGAGTTGAAATATAATAGCCCTGTTAATATTCACTTGGTTGATTTGTCACGAAAAAATTTCTGGCAACACTCATTTCAGTTAGGTTCGTCCTTTTAGCCTATATTTCTTTTTCCAATCTCTATGCGTATTTAATTTCAGCTCAGAGCTGCTGACAATTATAACAAATTCTGCAACGAATTTGATACAATTTTTCATTTCTTTTTTTCCATACAAAATACAGAAATGAATGAAGCACAAATTTAATCCTCAACCTTTGTTAGTAAGGCGGGCAGCAGCCTCACTTACTTCCCGCACTTCCTTGCCTATTTCCTTGGCTACTTCCTTTGCGCTGTCTTTCACTTAGTTTTCGCCTACATTTTCTTGTTATTTTCATTTTTCTTGTCGGCCGATGGCACTGTGCTTACTGCATGCCTTACGTATGTATGTAGGCGTTGTCCGCGTCTTAATGCCCTGTCACAACCTACTCGCCGTATTTGCGCATTGTCTTTGTATGCTAAAAACTCGCCTTAACACGATTACTACCTATTAGCTGGCATCTGACTTAGGATCTTTTTGAGTGAACTTATTGCAGACTGTACTTTTAAGACGCGGCTTGTCATTCGACGCAAAACAAATCAGCGCATACAATTGTCACGCTGTCACTGGCACATGGCCGGGTTCCACCCATATCCGCTCTTGCGCGTGTCTCTAGACACTCTCACCTCCAAATGCAGCCGCAGTAAGGCTTGCAGTATTTGCATAATTATAATGTGCTGATCAAATTTCAATGTTTGCAATTGTTGCCTAAGAAACCAGCAGAATTTCGCATTTCTTATTTCACTTTTCACAGACGACAATCGTCTTGGGGTGCGCATGCGCAATCCAACAGCCGCACGCCTTACACATCCCGCTGGCATTTGCATACCTGTCCGACGCTGCCAGGCCGGCCGCATGTACCGACATACGTACGTACGCTGTGTAACCACCACTTTATTGGGGTGTTGATTTCATTTCGATTCAATATTTATGCTCGTTTTTTTTTTTTTTTGTTGCGTTCTGCATTAGCGCATATTTATCGAGCGCCGCAAGCCTCTCTTCTCTATCAAGCGTCCTTTTGTACCTGCTTTTAATATAAATAAATATTTTTTTTTTTTATTCTTTTATACAAGTAACTCTCATTATTAGGCTGAAATTTCCTTTTCACCACTTTGGCGTGTCCTGCTTGCTTTTGTTGGAGTTGCTTTTGTTGTTTGGCAAGCGGCACACGTAAGCAATTTTCTCCTGGTTGAGAATATTGTCTGTCATTCACTCACCCCTTTCATCCCTTCCGCTAACACAAGCATACGGACCTACTTCATGTCCTGTTCGCCTCTGTCCTTATCCTGTTTGGCATTCGCATTCGTATTCGTTTTGGGGTTGAGGTTTTGCTGCGCGGTGGTGTCCATGCAGGCAGCCACACCACTCCGGCCCGGAAGTACATTAGCAGGCAAATTATGTACGCTTTACGCCTTTGACCAGGCGTAAAGCCTGCCTGTCGGTCCATCAGACTGGCTGACTGCCTGCCTGTCGTTCGCTCAGCTTTGTTTGATAAGCGTTTTGCTGCAGTTACTTGTACATATGTAGCTTGTTTGCCCACGTGGTCCTTGTAGATATGCTATGAGGCGTGACCGGTTACTTCCGTTGTTGCATTTAATTTGGTTGTTGTTTTGTTTTTTTTTTTGCTCTTTAAGCTCAGCGGAAATGATAAAAATATTTTAATTTTAATTTATTTATTTTGCTACCAAGCCGTGCTGTATGAAATGCACAGTGAGTAACTGTTTACACGCTTTGTGCGCGTGCGTCTTGCGCTTGTTTATTTTTTGATTGACTGGGGGTAGGGTGTATATCTATTTGTGACATTAGTACATATTTTATGCAAGTTTTCGAAATAGTCCACGGAATCTTTGAGTATAGTTATAGATAAAGAATCGGTTAATCTTACCAATTATTCAAGAATAGAGGGCCAAATCTTGTTTTTCTAATCAAATTGTTATACATTTTTTTTTTTTAACTTTCTCTTTATGCAGAGTTCTTGCGGTTGAAATTGCAAAAACCACAACATACTTTTCTTGATGTCTTAAGGAAGCTTTGTACTGTCGTTGAGTGCTTTACGGCACGGAAGCTTGATAAAGCTTCTGCCTACGATCACGGCCTTAGCCAGCCCCGGTGACCCATACCAGAGTTGATAACTTCATAAGCGCGTTTTTAAGCTTAGTTAAAGCTTTTAATACATTTTATATACTGCTGTACTCCACCCACTTCATCCTTCATTAAAGTTACATTTTACTTCGCCCGTGTCATACGAAACCAATAGGGCCTTGTCGCTTCTGAGTCCACATCAAATCTGTTGTAAATCGTTGTACATACGAAAAATGTTAGTAATGACATTCTTGGCCAATAGCTTCCCCTTGGCCTTCTGCGATTTTGAATCTGGTCTTGGTTAGCGACGAAACCGAAAATCTAGAACCTCCTGTATCTGCTCCTGTTGTAGTTGCTTTTTAGTGAAATTCGCTAAAGGCTTCTTTGAAGGGTCTCAAATGATTATCTACGCTAATAGACTTTGGGTTTTTGTGGGTCTCTCAGGTACACACTTATGACACGTGATTTCTCTTCTTTGTTCTTGGCGGACTTGTCCGAATCCACTGCTTGTGTAAAAGCCTTGGTATTTCGCTATTCGATACTCCATCATTCTTGTAGTGAAGTGTGTTGAAAGATGAGGTGATATTTTCGAATTGTATATCCACGAGCCAGTGTCCTATGCAAATAGTTGTGATTTTATATTTAATTTCGCCGCCTGGCTATCTCAGTTAATGTTCTCCTGCCTTCTCGTGGTTGCAAGAAGTTTAGTGTACCTTGCCGCATCTTGTATGAGAAACGTTGCGGCTAAAAACCGCTTGAATGGCACCTTTGTTCCGACTGTCAAGACCATTTTACCCCTTTGGTACGGTTTAGTCGGCTGGCAGTGATTTTATATGTATGCAATGTGTGTCTGTCCGGCATCTGATTGCATTGTTAGAAGCTGAATTTCCGATAAACGTCTATCGATACTATTTCGATCTTTAGAGCCTTCGTTGCTTAGGATCTCATTACACGCGTTATGCCAACAGCAACTGATCTCTGAATTTTAAACAGTTTTTAAGTATGTACGTAATCTTTAGTACGGGATGATCACCACACCAGCGCTGAAAACGAGAGTATCCAGCAATGAGAATATGCCGTGGTACTCCAGTGTACAAACCATGGCCTCAGAGCTCTCTCCGTAATTTCGTTGCGGCCGAAGAAAATGGATCTGATATCGCGGGCATAGGCTTACTTGTGGTCTATTCAAGCAACGATCGCGGCTTAAAAGTGGCGCCTGGCCTTGTTTGTGGAACCCAGCCACTTTGTTTGTTTAGCGTGGTATTTTTCCACCTTCTAAAAATTGCTGCAAAACCCGAAAGAGCCACTTCCGAAGCTTCTATGTAGAAAGTACGAATATGTATGAGTGTTTCTACCTCGTGTTCTTTCATGAATAATTGACCAACCATGAGCTATTAGGAAGCGACCGGTTTATTTAATTTCTCACAGGCTGGTACTTAGTAAATTTTTCCTGCAAGCCCATCAGTTCTTTTTGCTACTTGGTTACTTATAGTTCTCTGGAACCCTTGCCAAAGAAAAAGTTACAGGAGCTGTGATCAGATTAAGGCATTTGTACCAATTCGATAATCATTAAAATGACTACTGCTTATTTTGGGTTAATATAAAGTCGTAGAAAAAAATGTCTGACCTAACGAAGGAATAATAGGCGAACTGAAATATTATTGAGCTTAAAGATATGCATCAGTCTGCGGGCATTTGATATTAGATAAATCCTGTAAAACAAATAAAAGGGTATCCTGAATCAATTTAAAGTGTAGTCGTCAATAAAATGGCGAATGATGCTGAAGTGAAGTTCCAAGAGACGAAAAAAAAATTCCTTATCTTTTATCAAAGTCCCGATAAATATCGTTAAAAATTTTCAAATATATATTTTTTGCCTATTATTTGAACTAATATCCTAACGCTTGCCAGAATTCCTCTCGCTGCTGGCCTACCCAGCATTCTTAAGATAATGGTTTATCTGTAGGTAGCTCGTCACTTGTTTTCTGTCGGAGATGGACGCTAGGCTCCACAATGGCTTCACCATTAAGGAAAAATATTGCTGCATACTAAAAATTTAATTTCCAAGAATAAAAGATATAACATTTTTGTTTTTCATTGGGTTTTGTTTTATTTGGTTTGTTTTTCTTTGTTTTGTATTTTTTTTAGAGTGGTTTGCTTAGTCTTACAATTATTTAGTTTAGTGTCCTCCATTGCTTAAAACTAGCGCTTAGCTTATGAGTAGGGTTTTAAATCATTTGTCTTCCATGAGTTAAAATTCTTAAAAAAAATATACTTAAACTAAATATTTCACAACATTAAAACATTTCGAATTTACAAGGCACTATTTACAATTTTTAAGCAAGATCAAGCAAAAGCTCTTCCTTTTTATGCACAACAGTCACTAAAATTGAATATATATGTAAAATGTATCTTTGTAACGATACTGAGTCCTGAGTTGCCACTGGGCTATGATGTCTCTAAAATTTTTGCTACTTCCTCATTCGAAGGCAATTTTTCACTGCGCAGGTTGTTTCAGTCACTGATTGCGCCGCCTTGGCTTACTGCTCTTGCCATGAAGAGATATAGTCCAACAGTTCCTCATCGTCGGGCTGCTCATCTGCAGGTGACAAATGCGCAAACTCGTCAAAGGATTCAAACTTGAAGTGCGTCTGAGCAGGCTGTTGGTGCTGCTGCTGCTGCAGCTGCTGGTGTTCGAGTTTCACTGGTTGCAAATAATTGACGCCACCAATCGAAATATCCGAATCGCCACTGAAACTAGGCGCCGGTGAAACTGAAGCCTCTGAGTGATAGGATTGTTGCAGCTGATTGTAGGCGGCTTCACTGGGACT